TTTCCTAGATAATCTGAGTAGAAACACAGGAATAATCAAGTTAGAGCAGAGGAAATAAGCTCACAGAAGCAAGTGGTGGCAGTTCAGTGTGCAAGGACAACAGAGGAAACTGGAAAGCAAACATTGGAACCCAAAAAGTAGAGCAGGCTGCGGCCTACTAATGTAAGAGCAGATGACGAATTTCGTAATCCTTGCTGCCCTTGAACTGAGGATACCAGGAGAAAAAGATGAAAATGTTTGAAATATGGCAAGAAACTTCCCAAATTTATTGAAAAACAATAACCTACACACCCATGAAGCCCAAGGAAGAGACCCACAGATAGACCTTTCAGAATAAAAAGGCTGATAGTCCAAGACGAGGAAAATATCTTGGAAAAAGCTGGAGAAAAACAAAGCATCACTTACAAGGGAATCCAGTTTTCGGCTGACCTGTCAGCAGGCACAATGGAAGCCAGAAGGCAGTGGGAAAACATTCAAAGTGCTCAAAGAAAATACTGTTAACCAAGAATCCAATATCCAACAAACCTATCTTAAAATGAATGTTAAATACGGACTTTCCCAGATAAACAGAAATTGAAAGAATTCATTGCTAGCCAACTCATCTTACAAGAAATATTGTAGGAAATTCCTCAGACTATAAGAAAGTAATCTCAGACAGTAACACAAATTCACAAGACCAGAGAACACTGGTTAACTATAAATGCATATTCTTCTCATTTATTTTCTTAAATAAGTTAAACAGCAATTTCATAAAATATGTATATATACCTGACCCATATACCACACCAGGCACTATCTCCCTACACAGTAAAAAATCCACGTAGAACTTTTGATTCTCTAAAAACTGAACTGACAGCCTGAGAAGACTTACAAATAAAATAGGTGATTAACATATATTTTGTATATGTACTGTATATTTACAGTAAAGTAAGCTGGAAATGAAAAGGTTAAGAAAATCATAAGGAAAATAGGGGCTCCTGTGTGGCTCAGTTGGTTAAGCACCTGACTTTGGCTCAGGTCATATCTCGTGGTTCATGAGTTCTAGCCCTATGTGGGTGGGGGTCCTCTGCTGTCAGCATAGCGCCCACTTTGGATCCTCTGTCCCTTTCTCTCTGCCCCTCACCTGCCTGTGCTTTCTCTTAAACACTAAAAAAAATTTTTTTTTAAATCATAAGGAAAATAAGGTACTCTATTCATTGAAACAAATCTGCAAAAAATGGACTTGTGCAGTTCATGGTTGTCTTGTTCAAGGGTCAACTGTAACCTATTACTGGGCCTATAACATTTGGAAGTGTAATATATGTGTAAGTGCCAACAACAGCACAAACGAGGTGAATGCCAGCAAAGCTGTAATGAGCTGAGGAAATGACCACAGATGGTAAAGTAACAATTGTTAACAACGCATTGTGTAACATTAACTGATGTAAAATGAAGACATTGCTTAGAAAATACTTGTTACTAGACTTGGTACTCATGGAGATGTTTCAGATACTATTCAGTTTGTTATATTCCCTGCAAAGCACCATCTCCCACCCCCCAGAAAACATCATCCAAATGCAAGGAATCCTTTTATTTGCTGTTCTGACAGCCAGCCCAAAACCTTATTTGGAGTTACTTCTCTTTGGTTTATCATGGGATCCTGATTTCAGAAGCCCAGACTTAAAAACAAAACAAAACAAAATCTTTAACTTCGGTGAAGCAATCTATATGACCTCTGACTTTGCCAGTTTTAAATTTGAATGTATTTACAAACCCACATTTCATCTAAGATTTATAATGTAAAATGGTAATTGAATGTCTTGATTTATAGTCCATGAATCCACCATACTTTGGATAATTTGGAATAGAGCAGGTACATTTAAAAATTTAAAATTCAGATACTCCTATATCCATAAACCTACCGGCTACCCTTACCTCCTCATTTCAATATACTGCTGTAGGTAGCAATTTTGAGGGGGGGGGATAAAATCCCCAAACCCTCAATCCTGAATTAATCTAGGACAATTGGAGACATTTGCATTTTATCAGTAAATACAAACACCATCAATAATTTAAAAACAGCATTTCCCATGATTTTATTTTTTCTAATATAAGGGTTTCATTTAAGGCACACACACTATTGAAACATTTTTCTAGAAGCACTATAATTGTGTTATGCAAATTTAGTACATGGCCTACAAGATAAAGAGGAGTAAAATTATTTCAAGTCCATCTGGTTTCTAATGAAAGAACCAGTTTAACAGCTTTTAGTTCACGGACATTTATAAAGACTCTAGGCTTTACTTCCTGTTTTTTTTTTTTTTTAAACTCAGGTCTAGTGGGTCATTCCCAGGCTTCCTTCCTTAGGATTACTCAACTATTGAGTCAGATGCACAATCTATTAGCAATGTAGTAGACAAATGTCTTCTCTCTCCTTTCTGCATATTGTAACTCACAACACCCTTTCAAGTATCAAATGTATAGTTTTTTGGTTACTGGGCATTTGGCATGTTTACCATCATTAGAATGCAGCATGCTACCACAGTATTTGAATATAATGCCTGTTTTAAAATTAAAGCAAAAAATAAAAGCCCACCCATCACCGATCTGTAATAACTGCTTTAATGCTTTTTTCAATGTAACTGCTTCTCCTGAATGCTATACTTTGTAGTAAATGTGCTGCTTATAGTAAGTACCTGTTTATTCCTGTGACCAAAGTTACCATCTTCATTAGGTTGTAACACAACCAAATAGCTGTTACTGAGCCTAGTGAAATGAGTTAGTGTTAAAATACTTAAGATATACAAATCATTAATTTGACAAATGTGAAAGGCACAAGCTACCAACTTAAATAATATAATTCAAAAGGTTCACTGGTACATTAGTGCAGATAAATTTGATGAAGAGAAGATAAGCAGTACAACTAATGACAATTACATTGTAGATTTTGGCAAAGTTACTTCTGTTCTTTGGGTTTGCTTCTTTGTCTGTAAAATGAAGGAATTAAGCTACTTCACATCTAGTTTTTATGAGTTCATCTGGCTTTCCATAATTTGTTCTTGAAAAGTTGTTTTTGTCACATAGAATATCTAAATGCACCAAGAACATTGTTTATAGGACAATAGATGTCAGTTTACAATTTAAAACATTTTCTTTGTTCAAGCATTTGTAAAGTGAGCAATACCTATATATTTATAGATATCACCAAGAAAAACTGCAATATATTCTCAGGTAGGATATAGAACTGGTAAATTTAAGTTAGAAGTCTGGAAAAGTGTATAGATGATAAACCAACTTATTAAAGTTCTTGATCTGCTTTATGTACTCAAGTACATATTACCTGGCAGGATTTAGGTACACTGCTGACCATTTCCCCAGGATTAGTGTTATCATCCAGATTGTACCACATTGGTATGCACCAAGCCAAATATCAAACTGAATTATCTGAGGCTACAGGTTAAAATTTTTTAGAGGGGTCATTACAGATGAACGGGGTTGAAGTTAAACTTCTAGTGGTTCAAAGAAGTAACTTGGCAAGGGCACAGATCCAATTGGTATCAGTTGAGAAGAGAACCCAGATCTGATTGTCAATTCTTCTACAGGATACTGTCTTCCGGATATCACAGAGTGGGCAATACTGAGAAGGTAGGAGAAAGAGAAATGGAATATAAAATCTTTAATTAAAGGGGACATTCCATGGTCCATCTAGTTCAGCTTCACATGTAAATCTGGAATTTCTTCTGCAGCACTGTGACAGACGTCATTCGGCTTCTGCTCTGTTCCTTTGGGAAGATCCTCATTGACCTTAGGAGGCAATTCCTTTCCCTCATGGACAAATAACCATACAGTTCTTTCTTATACTGAGCTCTAACCTGCCATTTTGCAATTTTTACCTAGTTCTACTCTTGAGTCAAAAAGAATCAATTATACATGTCTCTCAAATACTTGAACATAGCGATCATTCCTTAGTTACATGGTTTGCGCTTTAGTTTGTGGGACTCTTTCCAACTTGGTAAAACATTCCAGAATTTGCACTAGTTTGTGAATATCCTTTCACTGGATCCTGAAATGAAATTAATATTTACAGATGTGGCCTGACTGGCATTTTGTTATGAGATTATCTTCCCATGATGGATTTTTCAGCATCCTAACATTACAGCCAATTATAACTGGCTCACATGCTATTTTTGGCAAACTAAAAATACCCAGGTTTTTTTTTTTCATCTATAAACTCCTGACAAATCCAATTTCATAATCCTATCAATGGCTTTCTATTGTGTCTAGGATAATGATCAGGGCCCATGATACCATGTATGATTGTGCCTCTAACTAATTTGCCAGCCTCATCTTTATGCCATCCATTCCCCTTGACCTCTGGGCAGTCTTTTTACATTTTACATGCACTATCCTTTCTTTAGGCTTCCATATACTGTTCCCTTCAGGCAGCAAGGATTTCCCTTGGCCACCAAGTTTAGTCATTTCTTAGTCATCCTTAAAGCTCAGATCAAAGATCACTTCTTTGTCAAATTCTTCCTTGCCCTGCCCACCATGTTCCCCTCCCAAGAGTACCTTTTACCTATTATATATAAGCTACAAATATCCTTCAGCCCTTATCCAAATAGCAATACTTGTGCAATAAGGTGTCTGTGTCCTTGGTTACATACACCATGAAGTCTATGAGGACATGGTTGACTTCCATCTTTATCTGGCACAGGGTTCTACATGACTAAATAAACAGTTGTTGAATGAATGAATGAATACTGAATTGGTATGATCAATATTTTAAATTTAACAGGTAATCAGAGAAAACACTTAGCTACACTCTGGTGTCTATGTTGTACAAAAATAGGAATTGTACAGGCTCCATAACAATCTTGAGAAGCAAAAAATTCTCTCCAAAAAAAGAAGTGATGATAAAATTTAGAAAACTACAGAACTATGCTCTATGAAGATGAATGGTAATTTTTTCCCGACTTGATGGTAAGGGATGGGAAACATGGAAGAAGGCAAACAGGCACAGCTGGGTGGTATTATATTTGTTGTTTTACTGTTAATTTGACACATCTGAACCAAAGCATTCACAATACTTGATATACTTTGAAGAGAATCATATACTATAGTCTTAGACATAACCACAGAACAAGCAGAACAATTAAAACTACATAAGGCCTTAAAATATATCCACAGTGTGTATTATTTCAATATTCATTCATTTACAAATTAGACTACATACCATTAATTTTATTTTTATTTTTCTTTCATTGTTTTATTCAGGCAGGATTCATTCAAGGAAAGGCAACTTAGTTTTTGTGTGTGAGCTTTGTTTTTTACTACATTGGTTAATATAAAAGTTATGAATTAAATGTTCTCTTATCTCCTGTATCAGGAGTGAATCCATGAAATTCTCAGATAGTAATCTAAAACAACAGGTCCTATTAAAAATAGCCAAAGTGAAAAATGACCAAATAGCCAGCCTGTTTGTGGTCTTGAAGAACATCTAATGAACGGACTCTCAGGTTTTCTTATAATGGAGAGTACAGCAATTCTATGAGATTAGTCAAAATTTAAAACAACATTGCATACAAAATCATTCTTGAAGCTCTAAATGCCTTTTAAAAAACAAAAATGAGAATTTTAAGTAGTTGCCTCATAGTACCAAACCTATAAATCAGAACTAGTTAAAATTCAGTGCTATCATGACTTCTCATTTACAAGGTAACTAGTTGGTAAATTAATAGATGGCATAAAAATTAAGACTTACATCATTTGTTTTTTAAGGAGAAAATGTATGATAACCAGAGAATACAGAAAATTCAATGTACTTTACAATAAAATAAGTGTTTAAACCTTTATCCCTGTACAACAGGGCTTAGGTCATCTCTAGTGAACTTGCACATTTTCATACAGTTTATTCTATTATGAGTACTTGAATTGTTTTAGATATACAGCTTTTTATTGAAAGAATATTACATTTGTATACCTGGATAAGATTTAGTACATTGAGATGTTTTAAAAATATTTATAAATCTGTTTCTGATATGCAAAAGCATTTGGCAATACTTTTACAGCATTTGATTTTATAGAATTAAAATTTCATACAGTACTCATTTTGATGTTTAAAAAAAAATTCACAGGAAAAATATAAATTACACAGCTTGACTGCATGATACTGTTATTTCCAGTTTCTAGTTCTGGTAATTAAAACCTTCATTAAGTCTGTTAACAAATCATTACCTGTACAATTATGAAGGCAACTGACATGATTTGCAAACAAAACCTTCAGGTTTTATGTTATTTACCAAAGAGTGCAGTTCAGCAAGGAAAGAAAACCCAGTATGCAAATTTACAGAATATTTTACAAATTTACCAGTTCCTGTGACACAAACTGTTTCAACCTTTCGAGGTACTGTCCATAAAGTTCCACATCATTGTGACCTGCCCCTTCAACCCACAGAGGCTCCACAGGTCTTTGGCAACGCTCGAACAATGCGAGGCCATGTGAAAAGTCAATGACTTCATCTTCAGTCCCATGAATTATTAATACTGGGGAGGTTATCTTAGAGATTTTGTCAATGCTGTAAGAGAAGAGAAAGCAGAAGGAAGTCAACGAATTATCTATGAAAAGAAACGTAAAACAAATTCTCTTGTGCCATACCGAATACCAGAATAGTCTCTGAATCAAACCAGAAGAAACAGATGCCTCTTGGATTTCAAGTAAGATTTAAAAGTCACTTTACATACTCCTTTTCTTAAGATTATCTGAGGAAGCTAACTTTAGGCACTTCTGTTTCAGAGGAATCATTCAATAGTTACTGTTAGCCTCCTGTACCTTTCTACAATATTAAGCACAAAGAAAACTTAGTTTGGAAGAAGAGGAAACTAAGGACCATTCAAACATATGCTAACTTTATACCTCTCTGCACTCGTATTTTTTTCTGCCTCTTAATCTACTAAAATGACAACAAAATGTTTTTTTGTCTTGTGGCATCAACTCCCTGAAATAGGGAGAATATAAAAAAATACATAATTTTGGAGCTGGGTAACAAATTAAAAGTATAAGAGAAAACCAATTTGAAGAGGATAGAAGATAAAGTGAAGACACAACCCAATTTATACCACCGCATACACCCGAAGGTCAGGAATTGATATGGGGATGAAAGCAGGTGATGGGAGTCTACAGAATCTGTTCAAAGTTTGTTTAGCTCAGAGGCTGACCTCAGCCGAAATTAAGAGTCGGACGCTTCACCGACTTGAGCCACCGAGGTGTACCCAGAGGGGACTTTTAGAATCTTTGTTGAAGACGACATCCACATTAAGAGGAAGAAAATAGTGACATGGGGTGGGATCCCCAACTAACTGATATGAACAGATCCCTGTATAGTTAAGCTCAGTCAACAAGCCTTTGTCACCTGCTTCAGGTCCGCTCTTTAGTTCCTTTCTTACACATGAACAGACAACTAAGAATTATCAGATATCAGAGAACATTTTAAATATCAGAGATCAAAGCAATTTTTTTTTTTTTAATTTTTTTTTTTTCAACATTTATTTATTTTTGGGACAGAGAGACACAGAGCATGAACGGGGGAGGTGCAGAGAGAGAGGGAGACACAGAATCGGAAACAGGCTCCCGGCTCCGAGCCATCAGCCCAGAGCCCGACGCGGGGCTCGAACTCACGGACCGCGAGATCGTGACCTGGCTGAAGTCGGACGCTTAACCGACTGCGCCACCCAGGCGCCCCCAAAGCAATTTTAAAAAGGCAACACTGAGACATAAGCTACACAAAGAACTCTTACAAACAAATTTTAAAACTTAACAAAATTATGACCTTTTTCAGACAGTTTGCAGTTAAGTGCTGCTTTCTTTGTTGGTGTAGCAGAAATTCAAGAGGGAGCTGGACAGAGAATATAAGTTGGCAACAGCATTACCCCAAATACTCCCTACCATTCCTACTGTTCAGTTAGACAGAAGCAATATAATGCACATACCTTCCAATACACTATTCTCTAAAACAAAAACCCTGAATTAATGTAAAAACAAAACCCTCTCACAGCTTGCTCTGGTGATAAGATCTTATGCTCCCATCATTAGCTTCCCTACAAAAATGACCCCTTACTGGCTAATGATGAAAAAATTTGCTTTTGAAATGACCTTCGTTGTTTTTATGAAGAAGCAAGTGAGGACTCTGGCCTTGGGCCCATCTATCATTCACAAAAAAATTCTTTGTATAGCTGCCAGTTGGGGAAAAGAAGCGAGACTGAAATTTGCCAGCTTCTCACTTCTTGCCTTTGCCCTCTGAGAAAAAAGGGCCATCCATTTTTTCCCAATTATGAAGAGGAGCTGGAGGAATTTCCATTTATCTTGTCTTGAGAAGCAGAAGTAGTTCTTTCAAATTTGTATAATACTGTGTGTTTGCAGACTATGCAGTGGCAACACGTTTTTAAAAAAATTGTTTTAGTGTTTATTTTTGAGAAAGACAGAACGTGAGCGGGGGAGGAGCAGAGTGAGAGGCTGACACAGAATCCGAAGCAGGCTCCAGGCTCCGAGCTGGCAGCACAGAGCCCGACGCGGGGCTCGACTCACAAACTGTGAGATCATGACCTGAGTTGTAGTCAGATGCTTAACTGACTGAGCCACCCAGGTGCCCCAATACTTTTTTTTTTCTCATGTTTTTATTTTATTTTTGAAAGAGTGAGAGAAAGACAGACAGAAAGCTGGGGAGGGGCAGAGAGAGAGGGAGACAAGAGGATCTGAAGCAGGATCCGTGCTGTCAATGCAGAGCCCAATGTGGGACTCGAACTCACGGTGAGGTCATGACCTGAGCCAACTGGACGCTTAACTGACAGAGCCACCCAGGTGCCTCTAGGATGGCAATACTTTATTCTTAAGACTCAACTTGTTTGCAATTCACATTCTTTTGTAAATCAGCTATCCTTAATTAGACATCATCCACTAATTTTTATGCACACGTGTCTCATTTCTCCTCTACACTTCCACTCTTCCAGTATCATGTCTCACTGAATTGTATCATTATCCACTAGCAGCTCAAGTCAGAACCTTAGGAATCAAATTCAATTTCTCTTGTTTTGCATCCTACATTCACTGTGACATGCAGTTCTGTCAATTTTATTTCTCAAATTCATCCCTTATCTCTAATACTATTGGTGCCACTCTCTGGGGTGTGAGGCCCTTAGCACTTTTCACTCGGATTACAACTGCTCAAACATTACACCCTCCTGACTGGTCTCCTGCCACCATCCTCTTCAAAAACTAGTTTTTCACAATTTCTATAATATGTGTAAAATAGAAGCTCATGGCTGAATGAATCATATTATGGATTCCTTAAGTGATGAAAAAAATTCCCACAAGATTTCTTTGAATTGATTTGGAATGTCAATACTTACTTTGGGAATGCATCAAAACAGTAGGTCTTCTTGGTATCAGGAAAAGCGACTCGCATTCCCGAGGTCAAAGGAGAATGAAGAATAACAGCAGCACTCTCATACCGAGCAGCAAGATCCACAGATGGTACTGTCCCTATACTTTGGCCATATATAATCACATTTTCAGGGCGAATGCCATATCTACAAAGTCCAGGAGTTAAAAAAAAAAAATAAAGTGGAGAGTTGGACTGGTATGAAATATTCAATCATTTTCTAGGGACTTAATCTTATAATAGAATGACTCAGAATGAGACCATGTCAACAAATTTATATTTAAAATATACATTTTCTTAGCCATCATTATATTTAATGTTATTATTCTTAGCATTTTTCATCTGTTTCATCTTTTAGAAAAATAATGGCTGAGGTCTTTTAAAATTTTAAACTTAAAGGAATTCATTATATCATTTATGCAATTCAATGTGGCGTATTTTTTACTAAATGCTGAACATATTGTATCATTGATATTTTAATGGGTTGACACTTCATAGACATTTACCATCTATCTTCCATTCAAAGTAACAAAAAGTTCTTTCTTTGTCTAGATATTAAAAGTGGCTCATTTTATTTTCTGAAGCCAGTCACAGTGATGAAAATCTTAATATACAGTTACTGTATGTTATGAATAAAAAATATGTATCATTTTAGCCAAAAGAAAATTAGTATTTTTCCTGAAATTTGCCTTTATTTGTTCATAGAAATGGACTAATGATTGGAAAGATAAACAGATGAATGAGAATTCCAAATGCCTTATGATTCAGTTAATTATGAATAGACTTCATGCTAAAACCTCAAGAGAACTGCCTTACCCCCTTTAAAAATGCTGCAGACTTAAATGTATCAACTCACTGATCAATATCAGGTATATACTATGCTTCAAGCACTGTTTACTACCTATAGTATAATTGTCCCAACTGTAAAGTACTCCAAGCAGAAAGGAGGTGCTACAGGAGCTAATAAATACAGAATTATGGGTTAGAGTGAGATCAAACATGCCCTTCCACTCTAGAAATCTGAAAGAAGTCACTTCTGGATGGGAAGGGCCACTTGCACAACAGCCTCTGGTCTTCTGAAAAGGTAATGGAGCTTTTCAAGTATCTGAACACAAAAAAAATAGCAAGACAAACCCTACGTGCTTCCTCTGGCCCTTTCCAGGGTCGCAAGACTCTGAACCATCCAGGTAATAATGACCATCCATAATTTCTTCCAATCAGTCCTATGTAAGCATTTGGATATATCCCAGAGGTTGGACATATCTACTCCAGACTGACTCCAAATGTAAATAAACTCAGAAAACCCTTTTCTTTAAAAAGACCTAGCTGCACATATTTCAAACAGTAAAGAAATTTTATGAAAATGAACATTTGCAGCACAGCATTAACTCTTGAGGCTCTAAGGCTGCCGTTAGCTGAATTGCAGCACTGTTGGTGGCAACTATGGGTTTTAGGCTAATGCTAGCAATGGCAAGGCTCCAGAGTAGAAGCAGCTGCCAGTTTAGCAGAGAATTCAAAGCAATAACAGAATTTCAGAACAGTACAAGTTAAAAGGACTTCAGAGACCATTTAATCTAGTTCAGCTGCTTCCTGAGCAGATGTTCAAAGTCAGAGTAAGTCAGAGGCAGATCTATAATTAGAACCCAGGTACCCTGACTCCCAGTTCAGCGCCTTTTCCATTATAGCACGCAGAGAATGAATTCAAAGACTATTGGACTATTTAGAAATGTATCTATTCTGCTCTTGTTCCTCATTCATCAAGTATGCATGATCATTAAGTATGTTTAAAATTGTTTTTTAACATTTACTCATTTCTGAGATGGAGAGTGAGCGGGGGAGGGGCAGAGAGGAAGATACACAATCTGAAGCAGGCTCTAGGCTTAGCCGTTAGTACAGAGCCCGACGCGGGGGCTCAAACCCACAAGCTGTGAGACCATGACCTGAGCTGAAGCCGGATGCTCTGCCAACTGAACCACCCAGGCGCTTCACTCATTAAGTATGTTTAAAAAGACTAATTAATCAAGACTAGAAATAATTTCATAAATATTTCTTCAAATTGATATCAGACAAGATGAAAAATAAAAGTTAACCACTTACAAGAGTGGTTTTTTTTTTTAACATAGGCAGAGAACACTCTATTGGATTCTAGTGTGTTTTGGTTGAATAAGTTATCTTTTCATGTTTTTGAGAAGCACTAACAATAAAGGCTATCTGCTTTAACTTAGCATCCTTAAAAATTGTACTAATCCACTGAAGTTGTACTTTAAGAGTTTTATCTCAATAAATCTGTTATTAAAAATATCTACTATCATACTTCCCTGACAGGTATTATACTCCATTCAATTGGCTGGGTCTGGAAAGTGCGCATTCATTTATTTTGGTTTGTAGGACTGAGACGATTTTGACTTTGGTCATTTAAGGCAGTTTTTAAGTTTATAAATTTTTATCATTCCCTGCCCCCTCCCCAACTATTTATTTCTTATACTACTTATCAACTTTTTCCTACTTATCAGGTATGTTTTCATATAATTGCAAATGATTTAAGAATCCCCTTTATATGGACCTCAGAGACTATAGTTTTATTATATCTTGGAGTAAATGTTTCTTTTAAAAAAAAAAAATGAAATATTTTGCAAGAGCGAGCGAGCATGAGCGAGTAACGGAGGGGCAGAGAAAGAGGGAGAGAGAGAATCCTCAAACAAGCTCTGTGTTATCAGGACAGAGCCTGATATGGGGCTCGCACTCACAAACCATGAGATCATGACCTGAGCCAAAACCAAGAGTTGGATGCTTAACCCACTGAGACCCCCAGGTGTCCCAAGGAATAAATGTTTCTAAAGGTATTTTCTAACAAATGTTATGCCTGCTAACAAAATTGAGGTTCTAATCGAAACCATTAATATTTAAACATTAAATCAGAAGTGGTAAATTTTCTTTAAGTCCTTTAGCTTTAGTCTAAAATACTTTGGAAGTCAGGCAGCTTTTCAGGAGATAATATGAAGAATAACTTGAGCTAAGGTATCTTTATTTATTGTACGGGAACCATTTGATTAAAAAAAAACACCTGAAGTCTACAAAACTGCAATGTATTTCATGAAAAATTTCTAAGTATCTTGGTGATTAGGAAAGATTAAAGCAATTTCTAGTTCCCAAAAATGTATTGTTATAACCAAGGAATAACTGACATGATGAGAGAATCTGCTTAAATGATTTATCATAACATTACCTTTTTTTTTTTTTTAGCTTAAGATCATCTCTCCAAATTTTATTAGTCCAGAATGCAAAGTAAAAAATCTCACTTTTACAGAATGAATACTTTAAAAATAGTTCCAATAAGATATCTGTAAGTCACATTGTCTAAGAGATTGTTATAGAAAATAACGCAAACTCAGGACTCAGGCTTACAATTCACCAAAACAATCCAGTCTCTTACACTCTTAAGTAAATGATTAGCTAATCACTGTTAATTCAAATCAACATTTTTTCTTTATTTTAGAGAGAGAAAGTGCAAGCAGGGAAGAAGGGCAGAGGGAGAGAGAGAATCTTAAGCAGGCTCTACATTCAGCACATAGCCTGATGTGAGGCTTGACCCACAACCCTGGGATTGTGACTTCAGTTGAAATCCAGAGTCAGATGCTCAACTGACTGAGCCACCCAGGTTACTCTGAATAAAGATTTTTATATCACACTCTTGTAAGTTTATAAAACCAAAACTTGTCATTGGCTTAAATTTTAAAGAAAATCACCCACGTGCACTAACAGACACAAATTAGATCTGTGTAAAAACTTTACGCTGTTTGTAAAAATTTTTAATTACATTCTAAGAGCTTAACTCTCCACAGGTATATTTTGGTACATATAATCTCTATTTACTACTTCAAAACATGTTGTTATAAAAACTACTTTTATTCTTTTTTTATATAAAGCAATTTCAAGTAAACATCATAATAACTGGAAAATACTCCCAATCACCATTTACCTTGTCCTAAGAGCAAGCCAAGCAGCTTCTATATCTGCATAGAGGTTCTTCTCCGTTGGTTTCCCAGAACTTGCGCCATATCCAGAATAATCATATGAGAATATATTACAATTAATCCGTGATCCCAGTCCTATGTAAAAGCTGCTCATCTGACCAAGATCAACAGCATTTCCATGTGAGAAGAGTAAAGTGTACTTGGCATTGGGTGAACAGCGCACAAACATGCAGGCAATTCTGTTGCCTTTACTGGTTCGAGTCATGAAACACTCAATAGCATCTTTTTCCCTAGAAGAGTACTGCCAGTCTGCTCGTTCTGATAGGTGTAAAGTCCAGCGGCTTCCACTTTCATCACACATCAGTGTATATGTTGGATCAGGTGGCAAAAATGCTAATTTTGAAGCAATTTTCCCAGGGCAAGGTGGACAGCAGAAGAGGCAACATAACTCACTGAATGAAAGATTATTCATCTTCTGAAAAAGAAAAGGAGACAGTAAATGTTTTAATTACTAAATATGGATTCTGCATTTTCATACAATAGAAGGTTAAAACAGAGACACCAGTAAATTCTACTGGTGTTCAGTGTCTACTATTATTTCAAGAATCCTCTGCCCAAACACATTTTTTGGCATCTTTCTAGAAATAATTTAAATCCTGTGGTGAGGCAAATTTTCCTGACCAGGAGACACTCAAACAGTATAGGATGTTTCAAATAGTAGTTATTATATATTATAATATTTAACCAAAACATGAAAATATGAAGAGTAGAGGTGATATTTGTTACTTCTCCACCGATAACAACATAGGAGGTGTGATATATCATTAGAGTAGCGCACAATTTCTGGGTTAACTTAGTGAAAATTCTCAGAATCTCAGGGAGAAGCTAGATATTTAACATGATAGAGTGAAGATATAACAATATTGCACATATTATTCCTTTTTAGTGCTTACAATTTGTCAGGCATGGTGCTACATATTCTATGTGTTTTAATTCTATGTGTTTTAATTCTCAAAACAATTCTGTATGTTGATCTAAGAAACCTATACAAGATTCATGCAGCCCGGATTTGACACCAGACTCAACCACTGTCTTTCATCCCTGGGCTACACTGCCTCAGAGGCTCAGAAAACTATTTGTCTCAGAAGCCTATCGTTTTAGTCATGGTGCCAGTGGCGCAAATCATGTATAAGACTTTGAAATATGTCTATATGTAATTACTGCCCAAATTTAAAAGGCTACAATATAAAGTCCATTATGGAAAAAAGGTAAAATCTGCTAAAATTTTCTCCTCTTCTATGGTTAGATTGGAAGGAGTATAAGATTTGAAGTCAGAGAGAGCTGGGGTGGAATCCCAACTCTACCACTTACTAGCTGTTTGCCCTTGGGTAAGTTATTTATTTTACAATCTTCACTGTCTTCATAAGTAGACGAAGCTAATACCTTCACTGAACAGAGTGATTGTGAAGAACAAATACAATGCTTATAGTTTTTTTAGTATGGATATAGGTGGCACACTTAAGGATGGTCCACTTTCTCCTGTCTTTTTAAAATATTAATATTTTTAAAGTTTCTAGTTGATATTAAGCCAGGAACAAAACTAGAGTAATTAATACTTGTTTCCCTGCCAGCATTTCTATCTTGTCCTTTCTCAAATTCCTATCCTTTTTAGCAACAGGTGACCATTACTTAGTTCCAGGAAGAAGGCATTCAAAACACCCTCCAGAGATTTGGTGACATGTAATTTTTTACAAAAAAAATCTAATATAAGGACAGAAAAAAATGTCTACCATACCATTATGCCAAATGTAATTACATAAGAGAAGAAATTACCTCAAGAGACTGACTGAAGTAGTGAGACTACTCAGAAAGAAAGAAATGACCTTTATATCTACTCAATCAAAATTCAAAATCTAGTTTATATGCTCAATACGAATATACTGATTTCCCAAAATCTAATCCATATGCTCAATATACGTGTTAATTTCCCAGTGTAAACTGATTAGGTAGAGAGAATAAGAAACAGCACAGATAGAGAAACAAGGATAGGAGATAAAAAAAGCTCTCTAAAAGAGGAGTAAGAGAAGGGCAGAAGAGTGTCCGTTGGATATTAGAAAACACTTTTACTTGCTATTCTACCTTTATTTCCTCTTCAACCTTCAAAACAAATAAAGCCTGAAGGGAAAATAGTCTGATAGAACAGAAATGACAATGAGGTATCATCTTTAGTGGTAGCTCTAATTGGCTCCCTGAAATATTGTACTCAGAAGCATTTTGAGGGCATGCCCAAGGCTTGGCAGGCAAAGAACGTGTAATAAACTAGTTATGTCTACTATAGAATTTGGCTATGAATTAACCTGGTCATGAGGATACAGGACCTGGTGAAGAGGATGGCAAGAAAGAAAGCTCAAAGGGTCAGTTCGAGAGGAGACAACCTAGGGAAAAAAACAAATAGATGAGGTTGGGGGCACCTTGGAGTCGGTGAGGTGTCCAACCTCAGCTCAGGTCATGATCTCACAGTTCAAGCCTGCTTCAGATTCTGTGTCTCCCTCTCTGTCTTCCCCTCCCCTGCTCATGCTCTGTCTCTCTCTGTCTCAAAAATAAATAAAAACATTAAAAAATTTTTTTTAAATTTTTATCAAGAATAAAATGTTTTTCCTCAGTAATTTGTTTAGTTCTGATTATATTAAGGTTATTTGTTTTATTTATACATTTTTTTAAGGAAGTCTATGTTGCTCTCTCAGTCCTGTTATTAGAAAAGTGGTAATTTGCAAGTTATTTGGTGGATACCAGTTATCTGGTTTAGGGCAGTGGAGGAAGGAATAGTTTCTGCCACCACCATTAAGAAGGTCAGGTTGTCCTTTCATTAGACTAGACCCTGGCACTGCACCTTTTCTCCTGCTTCTCTCCTTTGGTGTTCATCCCCAGATTTATTTCAAAATTACTTTTTCTTAACTTATTTTCAAGAGAGAGAGTGAGAGCACAAGCGTGGAGGGGCAGAGAGAGGAGAGAGAGAATCCCAAGTAGGCTCTGGTCTGCCAGCACAGAGCCCCACACGGTGCTCAAACTCACAAACTGTGATCATGACCTGAGCCAAAATCAAGAGTCAAGGACGCTTAACCAACTGAGCCACCCACCCTGGTGCCCCTCTTGATAGGAATTTTAAAAATCATTGAAATATCTTGCTAAATTTAGATAATTTTAAGTCCACTGTGTTTTATGTAAAAATCACCTGAGTAAAAAATGTATCATTTGCCAGTTATTTCTTGGCAACAAAATCTTGAGGAGACAAAGCAGTGAATAATGATAAACATCTGAGAGTATACAACAGCCATAAAAGACAAACAACAAATTAAGTAATTTAGAGCAGAACTTTTAGACCAGACACAACAAAGATTTAAAATAGGGTACCTGGCTGGCTCAGTCAATGGAGCATGCAACTCTTGATCTTACAGTTTTAAGTTCAAGTCCCAGGTTGGGTACAGAGACTACTTAAAAATATTTTTAAAATTTAAAATAAATTAAAATAAACCTGTTAAAAAAAAAAAAAAAAGAATACTTGGGGCACCTGGGCAGCTCAGTCGGTTATGTCTGTGTCTCTTGATTTCAGCTCAGGTCATGATCTCACAGTCCTGAGACTGAGCCCTGCATTGGGCTCCAAGTTGGGTAGGTAGCCTGCTTAAGGTTCTCTCTCTCCCTCTCCCTCTGCCCCTCCTCCTGGCATGTGCTCTCTCTCTCTCAAAAAGAGAGAGAGAGAGAGACAGAAAGAGAGACAGTACTTAAAGATGAAATGCAAAAGTGTCCTAAAGAAAAATCCAACTGGAATCCCGGATATAAAGAAATCAGTATCTAAAATAAAGAACCTGATGGATTGGATACAAGAATCAATAACTTACGAACATGTTAGTGAGATGGACAATCCAATTGAGGAATTCCCAAATGGAATTTTTTAAGATGAAAGGGATGAAGAGACAGAAAATATGAAAGAAACTTTAAGAAGGACACAAGTAGAAATACCAGTATCAATACTTTGGGGGTACCAGAGGGAAGAAAAAGAGGAGAAAACAAAGATAAGAATCTAAGAATTTCTCAGAATTAAAGGAAAAATCCAGACTGAAATAGCTCAGAGTGCCAAACAGGTATTTAAGGAAATTTTCATAGACAAATTATAGTAAATATAAAGATTGCCAGAAACAAAAATATGAAAGCTTCCAGAAAAGAACAGATTGCCTACAAAGGAACAAGAATCAGATGAATATCTGACTTTGCAAAACTGACAGTAGAAACCAGAAGACACTGGAGAGATAGTTTTAAAGAAAGAATAAAAATGCACAAAACTTTGAACGTAGAATTTTACATAGAGATAAAATACCATTTTAATAAAACAATAAAATAAATTTAGCTATAAGCATACTAAAACTCAGAAGCCTTACCAAACTGAGACCCTCTTTGAGAAACTCCAGCAAGAACAAAATAAATCCAAGGGAATTCTATGTATGAAGTATCTCAGATATGATAAAGAACAGTTAATATAATGCGTGTGTGTGTCTGTGTTTAAAGCAAGCAATGGAGGAAAAAAAGCAGCAAAGTATACCCCTAAACAATCCAGAGTCATAACTTTGGGGAATACCAATATAGAGAGAATTGGAAAGAGTTAGGGATTTAAAAGTGAAAAATGTGCTGAGGTACTTGTCACTTGTTCAGAATGGTATAAATGTTAATAAACTTCAGACATGGAAGAACATACCTATGACTATTAAGAAGTCAGATATACCACCACAAAATTACAGGTTGTAGGATACATCTGAAGTAGTTATAGTTATTCATTACAAATGTCCAGCTTTGAATATTTGTCCGTGTGTTAAACTCAAGGAGTGTAAACACAAAGAAATAAGAATTAAAGAACAGATATCAACAAAATAGAGAATAAAAAACAATAGATATTAACAGAACCAAAAGCTGACTCTTAGAAAAACCTTCCACTATCAATAGCAACTCGCATTAACTGAGCAGTTATATCAGGCACTATTCTAAACAGTTTTCATTTATTAACTCATTTAACCCTTTCACGACCTTCTGACGTAGAGACTATCAATTCACCCATTTTCCATTTCAGGAAACCAAGGCACAGAGTAGTTAGGTAACCTACCAAAGGTCACAGCTAGAAAGTGACAGAATTGATATGTGGCAGAATGATTCTGGAGCCTGAACTCAAAACCACTGCGCTTTGTAAAAAGAGTACCCACACAAGACTGATGAAGAGAAAGAGATAAGCAAAAAAACTCACATACTAAATGAAAAGACATACATAATTTCTAAATTAAAAAATACTGTGTCAATAAACACAGTAAGTTTGATGAAATGCATTAAATTCTTGAGTAACATAAAAGAAAAAAAAACCCAATTAAAAAATGAACAAAAGATCTGACTAGACATTTCTCCAAAGAGATACAAATGGCTAACATGAAAAGATGC